CCTGATCAAGTGGAAATCCATGAAACACCTCCTTTATGGTATTGTGGAATGTATTTAAGAAAGTTGTATTATGATTCAGCATTGTATCATGAACAGATTTGTTGACAGCTTCTACAAAGAAAATCCTATCATCAGCTTCATTTGTATCTGACTATCCATGCATCAAAACTCTCTGCAGTGGATATTTTTGAATAACTTTATTATCACATGTTTTGGTGTATAACAACAAACACTTATTCTGAAACTCTTTTATAGCTTTACGAATGACATCTTTATCCTTAGCGGATAAGTCTTCATAAGGCACCATAAGAATGTCCTTGTTGTTGTAAATCGCCATGACAATTATTGTCCCACCGAGCGTGCCAAAAAGTGTGTTGACACAAAAATGTGGTGATGTGATCAACACACAGCAAGCTGGAAGATCTGAGTGGAACGCGACCAGAGATCTGCTTGACTTCAACACCGAACCAGCTGATTCTGAAAACCCAACGACGTGCCAGTCAATTTGTCCTGCAATTGACAAGGAGAGAAAATCTTATCAGTAATTTAAGGTGGAACATATCGGTGTTGCACCAAACAGTTCTAAATATGTGGCTAGGTAGCTGATTCAATGAAACTATCGACTAAATAGTCGATATCCAGCGTATCCATGAAACAAAGATCTTTAAATCAAGGATTATTGGCTAATATTAAATGATAATGATATGAATCAAAATAACCGATACTCATGGAACATTAGAAAGCATCATCGGCTAAATGGAACATAATTGATATAAAGTGTCGAGCCGATAAATTTGATGAAAAGAGTATAACATGCGAACAAATCGACTGTCTAATATAAATGAATCTACAAACAGTTTTGAGTCTAATCTATTATCATCAACAGTGAGGTTCAATCGGATCGATGCAGCTATGATAATGATAATAAACCAAAGCCAAATAATCTATAAAACCATCTATATGTTGATAGATTCATGAAAATATGCTATATGCGTGAGGGTATAGGTAAATCGGCTAAAATAGCCGATGCAGTCATAGCAAACAAACAGAGTACATATCTTGATCATGAACAAGACCACTAATCGATAATTTCTAATCTAAAGTCTTACTAGTGAGGTTCGACCGAATCGATGCGGCTATGGTAGTGTCATTAGATTAGATCTCATTAACTAATGAGTTCGTTCAAGATTGAAATATGTCTTTGAATGCATACTATGTTTGACCAGAATAGAGATAAAAAAATCGATCTAGCGAAATTAAGCCTTCAAAGGACGACCAATTAAGATGATATGATGCCGATCTATCTCTATCTCAATCGGGTGATTTTGTTATAATTAACAAAACATTAATTATAGCAAAATCGATAACTGGTGAATCAACCAAAAACAGTAAGGAAAGTCTTACTAATCTTAGCAGATTCAATAACTGGTGATATTGTATTAAACAACAAGTTATTTAATATAAGATCGATAACTTTAATCTATATTATGATTCGTAAGAGATCAATCAGCTGATGCAGCCTTACAAACTACGTTACATATCGATAACTAATTTATATTATAGCTCATAAAAGATCAATAAGCTGATGCAGCTTTACAAGCAAAATACAAGTCGTGATGGTACTCACAAGCAAGCTGGAGGTCGATCACTCAATGCAGTCCTATTTGCTGAAGAACTCGCCGAGATCTACAGCACTCCTACTCCTAATGCGATAGCGAAAGCCGGAAAGATTGTATTAATTAAATGTTCATTCCCTTTTTACAATAACCAGGGTCTAGTATTTATACCCGGAACCGAAACATGAATCTTACTCAAATATGACTCATTACAATTCTTGGAATAAAAGAAAACTTTCTAATTTAATAATAACTTGGACCCTAATTTTTCTTATTTGTAGAGTCCGACATATCTTCCTGGCACCATTTAAACATAGCCCATTGACACTGTCTGCTGACGTCATCCATAAAATAGCCGATTCTGACATCAGCTGATATCGATCCACATCTAATCGATGCCTTGATGACACAATCCTGGAAGCTTCGAGTTCCCGTGTTCTTCTTACCAAATTTTGGTATAAACAATAGGTGTTAGGTACTATCAAGGGGATACAACACGAATAGTTAGACAAAGTTTCAAGTGCTTAAACTAAGTGAACCCAAGTGCTAACATGAGAGAAACACATCGTACAACACCTGCACTTGTTGATCATGGGGCTTGTTCTTGATTGGATGGAAAGCCCTCTGAACAAGTTTTCTATAAAGTCCAATATCATGGAAATAGGAATTCGGAGCTAAAACTTATGACATTGTTCATGAGGTGGTCTATGCTATTCAAGATAACTGCGAAAGTTTCATGGATTTTCACTGAACTTTAGCAGCACGGGAGTTCCACACACAGGTGCAGAAGTTCTGCACTCTGTAGACCCAATGGCTAGTTTAGGGCTCTAACAACTAGTTTTTTGGGTAGGTATATATACCCATCCCACCACCTTGTGGCAGGTTGCTGACCTTCAGGCATTCCCAACTCTGTGAGAGCTCTCTCCAACTCTATCTTTGTGAGAGTGAGTAATTAGTGTGAGACTAAGTGTTGGTTGAGAGATTTAGAGTTAGAGAGCAATTGAGAGCAAGCCAAACCATGAGCACTTATCGGGCTCTGTCCAATTCATGAAGCTTTTGTTACTCTTGGAAGGGAAGTCTTCTAGACAGCTAGGCATCGCCCGACAAGCTCCCGAACTTATGGTGAGCCACGGGAAAGTTTGTGAGAGCTCCAATCTTTTCCCCGCAAAGGAAAGATCATCTAGTAGAGACAAGTATAGTGGTCTAGAGAGACCCAGCATGAGCACGAGCTTTATGAGTTGCTCATTGCCATCGTCACATGGATGAAACACATCCCACTCCTACCTAGTATAGATGTGGAAAAGCCATGACAGGGTACGAGAATACTACTCCGTTGGTCCAAAAAAGAGTGCAACATCAAAGTCAAACTATTTTAAATTAAACAAAATTTATAGATATAGTATTAATGATTGTGATTCTAAATATTTATATTATGAAAATATATTCCATGATAAATATAATACTACTTATTTAATATCATGAATATTTGTAGAATACAGAAGATGCGTTTACAAGCTTTAAGAGACAATTACATATGTGCCCTTCTTCATGGAGATTATTGGTCTCATGGGCTGGAGTATTTGGATGTCCAAAAATGACTTAATCTTTGGAGGTTTACAAGCTTCTCTAAAACGGTGTACATGCATATTTAAACAAGAGTTTGCCCAGGTCATTCATCGGGCAAAAGCAAAATACTTCCCCCTTATTAGTCGATGGCTAGAAGCCATGCTGTAATTTTCTTATTTTTCTTTGCTACCTTTTTTGTTTCCTAAAACTCTTTTGGAGCTTGTTCTTTTCTTTATATAAATATATAACCAGCAAGGGTAAGGGCAACCTTTCCTGATACCCTCAAAAAATATTAGTACATATTTATAAAAACTTAATTAAACTAAAGATGATTTGATTTAACAATGAAGCTAAAATGACATTTCCTTTGAGATGGAGTATAAATTTTTCTCTTAGCTACTAGAAAGCCTACACTACCAGGGGCACTCGGCAAAGCCCAATTTGCATTCGGCAAAGGCTTTACCGAGTGCTGCACTCGGCAAAGGCCACTCGGCAAAAAATGGGCCGGCAAAGGCGTCTTTGCCGAGTGTCTTTTGTCGGGCACTTGGCAAAGCCTTTGTCGAGTGCCCGATACTCGGCAAAGTTGGAACCGAAAAAAACCCAAAAAAATGAGAATCTTTTTTTAATCGGTGGAGGCCCCCACCGGCCAGCACCAGCCCATCTCCGACATTTTTCGCGGAAAATTCGCGGCTACAAGGCCGGCGGGATTCAAACTAGCGACCTCTCCCTCGCGCGTCCCCTCCTCTAACCACTGCACCACACTGCCACCTATGTCTAGATTCCGTTTTGGTTCTCCACATATTATACTAAACCGAGTGTAAATTGCTTGTTTGAGGCCCTAAACGAATTCAAATAAAAAAGTTGTAAACTACAATGTTTCATAACTTTTCGAGATCTACACTTTTAGTTTAGGAAGTTTTTCCATCCGAGATCGTTTACAAAATTTGAATTTCAAAAATTTAAAATTCAAACGCAGTTTTGCATGACAAGATGATTTCAAATCAAAAAGTTGTCAACTACAATGTTTCATAACTTTTTGAGATCTACAGAGTTTATTTTGGTTGTTTTTCCATCTGAGGTCGTTTGAAAAGTTTGAATTTTAAATTTTTGAAATTCAAACACAGTTTTGCATGACAAGATGATTTCAAATCAAAAAGTTGCCAATTATAAAGTTTCATAACTTTTCGAGATCTACAAAGTTTATTTTGGTTGTTTGGTCATCTGTTCATCCGACATGGTCGTTCTAATATTGTTCACAAATCTTATATATCTCTCTTGTAGTTTCATAAACTACAAGAGAGATATGTTAGATTTGTGAACAAATTTACTTTCACTTTGTCATAAGAAGAAAAGACCAAAAAAAACATTGTACATCTTGATGAGTTATACAACTTTGTAGTTGAAAACTTTTTCATTTGAATTAATTTACTGCTTCAAAATGTGCTTTGAAATTTTCTTTGCCTAGTGTCAAAAAAAAACACTCGGCAAAGAGCTTCTTTGCCGAGTGTTTTTTTTCTGCACTCGGCAAAGAAGCTCTTTGTCGAGTGCCTGAAAAAAAACACTCGACAATCCACTTGGCACTCGGCGAAGAGCCGGTCTCCGGTTGGGGGTTATTTTTGGGGTTTCACAAAATGATAACCTCAGCGACAACTTAAAATCTCATGTGTTATGTGAATCACATAAATTTTGAAGCACATGCACATAATTTAAGAATGTCTCAAGTTTTGTACATGCATATTTAATTGGGTATGTAACCAGAGGAAGGTCAACAATTCGACATTTATTTGAAGCACAGTAGACCTGGTGCAACTTCGTTGCTTACATGTTTGATCCACGGAGGGATACATGTACATAAACCCAACCTAAAAGTAAACGAACAAACAATTAAAGAATTATAAACCAGATTACAAATCAAACTAGCTAGGACGTTTCTCCGGATCAGCATCACCACAAACTTCCTATGGCTCCTACTAGAAAAAAGAATCAACCAAACTAATAACAAATTCATCACGTCGCCTTTCCATGGAAATGGAATCAACCAAATCCAAAATTCTGATTCTCTGAACACACCTGCTGACCACTAACACACTACATAGAATATGATTTTTAGGGGCGGCTCCGGAGGCTCTATAAGGGCGGTTTGCCCAGCCGCCCCTACGCAAGGGTCTCTACAAATCATACATTTATAGGGGCGGTTCTGAGGCCGCCCCTACAAATCGATTTATAGGGGCGGTTGGTACTATAGCCGCCCCTACAAATCAATTTGTAACGGCGGTCTGGGAACACCAGCCACCCCTACAAATCGATTTGTTAGGACGGCTACAGTACCAACCGCCCCTACAAATCATTTTCCCACCAAAAAAAATTAAATTTACAATTTAAATTCGACCATAACATATATTTTTCATGCACAACTCCATCATGATTTATCTGTGTCTGAACTTGTACATGTAGGATGGGCGTTGGTCAGGCTTGATAAGCAAATCTGAGACAAGTTTTCAGATGCTTTGCGAAGACTAAAAATGAATGTAGTCAAGTACTCAACTAGATCTAATAGCTACACATCAGGAAAAAATAATACTATGAGCTCTTATTCTTCTCCAGACACACCTGCTACCCGACCACAGACAGCTCTATCGACATTATAGATTTGAAACGTCTTGGAAACTTCCTTCTCATTCTCAATCGCATCAGCTATCTGCAAATTAGAAATGTGAGAAATGTAACATTACAGATACTATAGAAGTTTCAGTATGTGATACATCTGTGGATACAGTTCAGAGACTTGCTACAAGATAAAAACATGCAACTCTAGTATGGCAGGCTTCAACATCATATTATTTCTGAACAAGTCATGTGGAAGAAATAAGTTCTAGGTTTCCCTTTAGAAGAGTACAAGTCATGGGAAACAAGAAAAGGATGAACATGAGAACTATAGTACTGTAATTTTAGTCGGACAAACCTTATCAGTTTCCCCAAGCTTTTTACATATCCTTGCCTTTTGATCATCTTGAATATCATCCGCGCTAACAATCACATCTAGAAACTGCACAAGTACTTCAGTTAGCAGCAGTGACAGATGAAATCAACAGGAATAGTAATTAACTGGAGTATGGCATCTAGAAACAAAATAAACAGATGACCTGTGCCATCAGCTGTGAGACTGGATATCCATCTGCTATAATAACATCATCTTCATTGCATATATGCATAATGTGGTTGCTCATCACTTCTTCTGAAAGAGGCTTGAACCTAAACTTGGCACATCTTGATGCAAGTGGTTCTATTATCCTGTAACATTAACAATCATGAATCACAAAAATTCAATATTTGTACCATAGAAAAATAATAAGATCACGTTGACAAAATACCGGCTGATATAGTTGCATATAAAAAAGAATCTGGTCACTTTGGAGTAAGTCTCCATGGTACGCCTCAAAGCATTCTACAGATGGATATAAAATATCAACTTAACATATGTATTAGGTCTGAAGCATTTATTACAAATAGAAGAATGATGTGTGACAATATACCTGGGCATCTTCTGTCATTGAATCTGCTTCATCAAGTATAATAATCTTGTAAGGTGGGCAGGGATAACCACTGAAGTCCATCACAACAAGAAAACTTGTAAGGAATACAAAAATCGGATGGAATTGAAAAGCTTTCTAATTTTGATGAGCTTACGCTTTCCGTGCAGTACCAACAGCAACAGCAGCAAAGTCCTTGATTTTCGTCCTCACCACATTAATTCCACGATCATCACTAGCATTGAGCTCCAAAACTCTCGACTTATACAGCTCTAGACTGAAACATCCAAAGAGGAGAAGAAAATTGAGTCCCCAAACCAACTGAGAGTAATGTTGTGTTTTTTTATTCAAAACAAGACAGTTTCTAATGTCATTTCCACACTTACAAGATTTATAGGGGCGGTCTGGGAACACCAAGCAGATAACACCAAACATCAGCTATCTGCAAATTAGATAATATAAATAATGGTGCTCCAAGCAGATAAAACTTGGGTTCCTAGCAACCGCACTTCATTTTAGATAGGTTAAGGCTGTGCATGGACCATAAATACTGTTCTAGTTTCATGAACATGGAATGATGAGTTGCTTTGATTGATGATACTGGAAAATCAGGTTTAGTGGACAGCCATTAGTCAAGTTAGTCCATGTAACTAAGAGAACTTATCAAAAACACTACCTCAGGATCTGCAAGGATTGTCTCATCAAGAACAGGGCAACAGTTTATTCAGCAGAGAACACATTTAGGATTCAGCAGAGAGAGATGGTTAATAAGCACAAAAGAGAGTTAAACGGCAACAGTTTATTCAGTGGTTTTTGTCTTAACCTTTTAACAAAGCACCAGGCAAACAAGGAGAAAATGATAATTGCCACTGTAATCTAGAATTTACCAATGCATTGAACACTCACCTTTCAGGTGAAATAGACCCTCCAAACAAGCTGCAGTAACTGTATAACCCTCCAGATTTAGATGACCTAGCTTGTGTAGACCTGAATTGAATGACCCAACAACTAGAGCACTAGCAGAAGTAAACAAGACAATGTGCTACCATAGATAACTTATGAGCACCATAAAGCAGTGGATAAAACATAACTACTTATTTTACTAGCAATCCAACCATGTAACAATAACAGCAGAAGTAAGATATGAAACTGAAATTAACGCAACCAACCTAAAATACTGAAATATGGTACGATTTACAAGCAAACCGATCACACTTTCCAGTTAAGAACCAGATTATATTGAATAAATCGCTGATGGGATAAGCCAGAGAGCACCAAATACCTTGGACAACATTATAACAAGGAAGTTGTTCTCAGCAACTCCGTTGCCTTCCAAAGTGGTCTCATCCTTGAGAATTTTCCCTTGGTATATGAGCATTTGTTGGTCTGCCGGGTAGGTACTCTGACCCTGAGTGGTCTCGATGATCCTCTTCACCTCAGCAACCAGAAAATACAAGCAGTGAGTAGGCTGCACGACTAGAGATGTTGTCGAGCAACATATATCGAACGCCACGACATGCTGAATCACCCGCCTGTACAGCAACCGCGCCACATTACCGAGATGATTCAAACAAACACACCCCACCACAACCGCACCCCCCAACCCCCCAAAACTCCAACCAACGACAAACCCTAGACTATGTCCCATGTGAGAAACTGAAGCTCTAAATTCAGAGAACCAGAAGGCAGCGGGGGCCACATCACCCGCCGGCCTGGACGCCCCCAAAAACAAAAACCCTAGATTCAGATCAAAGCTCCTGAACTACCATCGGACGGCCGCGCAATCGCTGCACCAGACCACCGCGAAATCGTACCGAGCCGCACCCGAATCGAACGAAATGACCGAGAGTTGCACAGAATCCCTTGGATTGGAGTGAGAAGGACGGGGAAGGGGGGCCGTACCGACGCATCGGGGCTCGCCTCGATCTCGAAGTTGGTGCCCTTGAGGGTCTTGACGTTAAGCTTCATCTCGCCCGACGCCTCCTCAGTCCGCAAGCTCTCCCTCCTCGCGCTGGCTGACTCCGCTCTGAGGTGGGTAGGGTCTCGTCACACCTCGCATTGGGGTAAAGATGGGGAGAAGTGATAGATCCAGACGGAAGAGCTTGCGGAAAAGCACGGGACTGACGGAGTAAGGCAAGAACTGTGGAGACGACGGAGCACGGCGATGAAGACTGGCGGAGGGGGGCGATGAAGTGCGTGTAGCACGGCGGCGCGGTGAGAGGTCTGGGAAAAGGGAGGGGGGAGAGAGAGGAGCTGGAGAAGAAGGAGAAAAAAGATGGAGCCCCTGCAGCCGGATCTGGTCGGATCCGCACATGGACGCGTCCGTCGGTGGAGCCCCTGCAGCCGGATTGCGTGGAGGAAACCATGAGCGCGACGGGAGTCGCAACGGGGGAGGAGGTGGCCACGGGCAGAGCGCAGTTGCGAGAGAGAGAGGACGGGGGCGGCGGATGGATGGAAGAGTCGAGACTGAGAGAGAGAGGGGGGGGAAGGGCAGCAGATATTTTGCGGGTGATTCGGTACTGTACATAAGGCATTGGTAGGGGTGGCTCAATCACCAGCCGCTCCTACAAATAACAATACCGGAGGCGGCTGGTGAGTGAGCCGCCCCTACAAATCCGATCCATTTGTAGGGGCGGCTCGTATCACCAGCCACCCCTACTGTTGTATTTATAAGGATGGCTGGTCTCGTGGGTCTTCAGTACTCCACTATAGAGATGGCTCTATCACCAGCCGCTCCTATAAAAAATTTATGCCTTGCTGCAGACCGTTTTTCACCTAGTGGCACTGTCGTACGTGCAAGCACCTCCGAGGCTCCGACCCGTCGTCTCCTGCTTGCTCCGATCCACACAACATGCATGCATGCAGGCCAAACTAGAAACCAACGTCCTCTACAGAGAATCAGAGGCCACTTTGTCCGGTCAAGCCGTCACCGGCGGCGGAGACGAAGATCCCCTGCCCCGGCGAAAGAATCGCCCGCGGGGCGTACTTGTGCTTCAGCGCGGCGAACCTGCTCCATTTCTCGCCGAAATGCCGCCACCAGGCGTCCCGCGACGCGTGGCTCGGCAGGTACTGCTTGCACCCTATGCCCTCCCGGTGGCAGAACTCCAGAACGGCGGCGTTCTCCCTCTCCAGCCGCTCCAGATCGCCGGCGCAGCAGCCCTACGGCGTAGAACACGTCCTCGTCCGGCGTGGACGTCGTCATCCTGTCGTCCCACCTGTCCTTGTTCATGGGGTACATGAGGACGAGCCCCACGGGCTTGGTGTCCTTGAGGATGCCCTTGAACACGCCGGCGTCGAAGTCCACGATGCGCGACCTCGGGACGAAGAGGTTCAGCCATGGGTGCGGCACGTCCCAGACGCCGGCCGACCGCAGCTTCTGCTCGTCGCGGCCAACTCGGTCGAGAAAATCCACGTAGGACACGTCTCTGACGAACGCAAGCCCCGGGACGAAGCTCAGCTCTTCCAGTAGCGTCCCAAGTTTCACAGAGGATGAGGAGGAGGCAGTATCCTCATGATAGTACATTGCACCCTCGATGTAGTAGATTGCGGCAGACCCGGTGCCATGGACGAGCTTGGCAAGCTGATCGAGCTCTAGGGCTGAGAAGAAGGAAGACGACCTCCGGCCCTCGGTGAGGATCCGGTTCAGCTGGACTTGACCCTCAATGTAGTCGAAACCACCGGAATCGCCGGCAGACCGTTTCGAGATGAGCAGTTCCTGGTCACCGGTGAACGATTGTACATCTGCGTAGGCGAGTCGGACCCAAAGAACCCGTTTGGGAGCGGGTTCAAACGCGATCCGAGCCCGGGTTATGACCCCAAACCGACCCAACCCACCCAGTGCTGCAAAGAACAGGTCCGAGTTCTTGTCCGGCGAACAGCTGATCATTTCGCCCGTGCCTGCAACCACCAACATATATAGCTTGTTCGTTAGTTAATTGTCAACAAAAAAACACAGATCCATTACACATTGTGCACTGGTCAGCTCTCAGATTTATGTATACATACATGGCCAGCAAGAGACGTGTCCTGTTACCACGTCAAGTTCGTGCACGTTGGAGATCTGCGGCCCATGGCGGAACGCCTGCCCGCCGATGCTGCCATTGGAGAGTGTGCTGCCGACTGTGATGTGGAGGTAGTCGGTCTACACGCGTGGCGCGAGGCCGTGCTCGAGCGTAGTGTGGAGGACGTCGAACCATAGCTGCTCGCCGCCGACGTCCACCCACAGCTCGTGGGTGGACACATTCATGCGGCAGCGACCATCAACACGGTGATCATGGCCGAGCGAGCGCATGTCGACGACGACGACGCCTGGGGCGAGGGCTTGCCCTCGAGCTGAGTGCCCTTGCACGCGTGGCGCCACTGTGAAGGGCTTTGGCTGGGGGAGTGAGAGCAGGATTAGGGCGGCAATGTCGTTGGGTGAGGTCGGATGGAGTACCCCGTTTGGGATAGCTTCCACAATGTGGCCAAAGTCCATAGAGGCCTTCATGGTTGAGTTGCGGTCTGTGCGGATTTTTGACACAATGTCTAAGGCGAAGATGTCATCATCTGGGAAGGCGCCGGCTTCGGCAAGCATATAGAAATGGCTGATGGTGGAGAGGAAGCTGGTGACAATGAGAAATGAAGCTAGATAAACCCTTTCAGACATGTTGTTGCAAAGAGTTGGAATGGAAGCTGGGTGGCTGGAGTTTGCTAATTGCATTTGAGATCCTTGTGTGTGTCCTAATGTCATGGAGCCCTACACATTTATAGTTGAAGAGTTAGAGTGTTCTAGTTCAGTTAATTAGTTCTCGCTTTGAAAATGCAGAGGGTTGACATCCTCCAAAACAAACAACAATGCTGAAACTAAAACTTGGTCAATGCCAACTGGTTTGACTCTTCAGGAGACCTCGATGATGATTGGGTCTATACAAAATCATAATACATTCTTGACTTCTGCGGGCCTTCAACTGATTAATAAGAGGGCACTAAGGCCCAAATGTATTTTATGAAACATGAGATACAAATAGAAAATGGATGTTTGGGTGTTGGGAGCAAAGTTTCAGGGGATATCATTAAGAGTGGTTCATGGTAGTAATTATCAACCATTTGATGGTTTCAAACCAAATATCCTAGTCAACTTGTTTGAAAAGTATGAACAATAAAAATTATTTTCATCAGAAGTTTCAATCTTCCAAAATGTAAATTACTTGTAACTACTAACTAGTCCATCAATCGGTGCTCGGTGCTCTATACGGGATGGTAATTTAAGATAGAGATAAGTGTTCGGAATTCATGGATAAACTTATCTAGGGACCATAGCTAATCAAAATAAATTATTCCCTCTCTAGTTGTTCATATTCTAACACAATAATCGTATACCTAGAAACAACCTTATTTTTTGCCCAATTGCAATAAAATTTAGTTACCAATTACTAGATCTTTATATTTCTCTATCCATATTCATAGTTTCCCTTTGCACCTTGCCTCCACATGCATTTGACATGTGTTTAGTTAATATCTTAGCTTGACGTGTATATCTTGGGTTTGTTTTCCTGTATTAACAATAGTAGAAGTGTATAATTTAGATGTATGTATATAGGTACTTTAGAATTTATTTTATAATACAACTACAGATAATTTAGATGCAAATATAGAAAATTAGATTATTTTTCATTATGGTACAGATGGGTTGCTTTATGTTTTTTTAATAATGGAAGGTATGACTAGTTAGAGGCAAATTAGGGTTACTTCGGAATATTTTCTAAAATAGCATAGGTTGGTGATTTAGATGAACATTTTATGGAAGGGGAGGGGTTTGGGATGTCCTTTAGATTTGTTTTTTTTATAATGGCATCGGTGGATAAAGTTAGACAAGTTCACAGTATTTCTTTTTATTATATTTTCAATGGCATATGCTGGGATCTACATGGAGGTTTAAGGGATACTTTAGAATAAATTTTTCATAATGATTTAGGCAGGTAACTTTTGGTAGAACTTAATAGACCTAATGGATGTTGCTATTGATAATGATCAGAGTCTACCTGTCGGGGTTATGATACCTCAAGTATCTCAAGACACCGATTAGTTAGCCACTTAGACGGCCCAGACAAATGAGCTAGTACAAGCCTAAACAACCGAGGCCCAACTAAGCTATGAAGGCCTGGGCCAAGTGCTGAGAAAGGGAGTCGACCACAACCTCTTCCCTCTCCCTTCACCACACACTGCCTAGCTACGCACGACCTCTCCTCCGTCCCGACCTCGGAAGGAACGGGGAGAGGTCAAGCCCCGCCAAGTACGCCGGCTCTGACCAGGAGACAATGACAAAGGCCACGGCGGGGCTCGACCTCTCCCGGTGGTGTTTCACCAGCCGTCCTTGTACGACGCCCTCGGGAGACCAGGAGACAATGACAAAGGCCACGAGCGAGACCACGTCGCACAAGGACAGCTGGCGAAACACCACCGTGTCAACAATGCCATCACGGCTGGCACTGTAGCACCACGCCCCCTATGCCGCGACGTGGTTACAAGACCATGATGACAACCACATTCGGACGCATGCTGACACCAAGACAAGACGGCCTTTCTTACAAGCCAAGATAGCTAGTTTCCCATCCCTCAGGCTCACGATCGCCTGGTCGGGAGAACCTAACTCTTTGTACGTGGCCTAGCCCCAAACTCTATATAAGGGTAGCCAGTGTTGCAGAACCGACCAATTTATAAGAACACAATTACAATGGTAGCCCGCAAGCGGTCGCACTATCATACTTGAGCCCATATAAACCCGGTAGTCCGTCGAGTACCACGACGGGTCTCGATAAACGATCCACATACAACCAAGATCGTACATGATCCAACATACATGTCACATATTACATAAAGTTCACAATTACAATCCATTCGGTTATTACAAACCAAGTTCGATAGATAGTAGCGGAAGCAAATTAAAGTTTGAAACTAGCGTTTGCCAACATAGTTCAAATATAGTGCCAACTCATGATCATAATCCACAAAAGCATATAAGAAGGATTATTAAAGATGCTTGCCCAAGGCTCACTCCTCATCCACGGCGGGACAGAGGCAGTTCTTGTAATAGCCATGATAAAGTGTACCATCTGCAACAATGGGAATAAAACCCTGAGTACGAGAAGGTACTTAGCTAGACTTGCCCATTATAAACTAGAAATAAATTAACTCCAAGGATGATGCAAGGCTTTATAAGTAGAGGTAGCTTGACAACATTTTACATAAAAGCTATTAACTCAGTTATACAATTATACTTTGGTCATCAAGTTAATTATAGCTATTCATCTCTAGATTAGCAACTATCATATGCTAAACATGTAGTATGTCATTTAATAGCATACAATAGTAACCATAGCCGGTGTAGTAATTCCATGTTTATTCGAACCATCACATTCCATAATACAATTACTACAATGTTGGAGCTAGCCAAGTTTTTCACTATCCGGGAGAGACAGCGATTCGAATTGATTTCAACCAGCTAGGAATTTATTCCTAACACATACCCAGGCAGACCAGATCAACGGTCACCTTTGGTACAACTCAGGTACACTTTTTGTGGGTTCGACCAGCGTTACACAATCAGAGACAACCAGCTGTCAGGACGATCAGGACTACCCTGTCCTTGGGCTCATAGCTGGCTCCCCGCACATCCTTACTATCATTCAGAGTGCATACTTTTATAGAATGGGGCCTGACCTGAGTTGAGCTACTTGGCTTCACGGTCGGAACGAGTTATCCGGCCAGCTAAGTGATAGGCATGTGTTCAATCTTATCAGAAAGGCCAACAATGGTACGGTCCTTAATTGGCACAGACGAAATCACATGAGTCAACCTGTAACACCCCGGCCCAGAACTTAATAGGATTAATAGGATACTCGTACCAACAAGTTGCAACTTCTTTTTCTGTAACGTCCCACCTCTCCGAGGCTGGGCCTGCTTACATCTGGCAGCTTAACTAGGATATAGACTGCCCTCACATACCAACACTTGTCTTTTCTACGCACTTTGTCCTCACTCGTGCACACCCGAGAAGAACTTCCCGGTCGGTCACCCATCGCTCCAGGCCAAGCACGCTTAACCTTAGAGTTCTTAAGAGATGGGCTTCCAGAAAAGAAGTTGCAACTTATTGGTACGAGTGTCCTATTAATCCTATTAAACCCTGAGCCCGGGTGTTACATCCTCACCCCCTTAAGAGATCGACGTCCTCGTCGATCAATCCCAAGCCAGGAACATCCCCTCTTAGCCACGTCCGTGTGTCTAGTGCCAGCGCATGTGCCATGCTGTGTGACCACACCGGATCCACACCAGCCATGCGCACCATGCCTGCGTAACTACGACACACGCGCCCATGAAACCGCGAGAGTCGGTTTTGATACCATTCTGTAACATCCCACCTCTCCGAGGCTGGGCCCGCTTACATCTGGCAGCTTAACTAGGATATAGACTGCCCTCACAGACCAACACTTGTCTTTTCTACGCACTTTGTCCTTACTCGTGCGCATCCGGGAAGAACTTCCCGGTCGGTCACCCATCGCTCTAGGCCAAGTACGCTTAACCTTGGAGTTCTTAAGAGATGAGCTTCCAGAAAAGAAGTTGCAACTTATTGGTACGAGTATCCTATTAAGCCCTGAGCCCGGGTGTTACATCTGTTGTAACACCCCGGTGTTACGATCCTTTTTAGCGTCGCGATTTAGGCCTCAGTAAAGTTTTCGAAACGAGTTTCTCGGATTTTTGATTTAAAACGTATTCGACGTGATACGCGAATCCAGTGTGGCTGAGTTCGCGGACTCAAGTAAACGCTCAAGTTGAATCACGCCGGGCGTAGAAATAATTAGGAATGTCGAACGGCAATTCGAGCCAATAGATAGCAAACGGTTCGTTCTATTATATTAAGCATGAAAAGCAACGTTTATAAATAAAATAAAACCCATTCATAAATAGAACGATATACATATATATATATATATATAGCTTTTGAATAAATTTAAATGCGAGTTTGCGGAAATTTTGCTATGCCGAGACGTTACAATTTGTGTAAAGTAGTAAACCGTTATATATATACACACATGTATATATATATATACATGTTATGTTACGGCAGTAACTCTTAATCAATGAACATGTAAATGTGTTAGTTGATCTGCTCCTCTACAACCTTGAAACTGTTAAACATTGGTTTAACCAAATTTAAACCAAAAAAAACCAACAATGTTGTTTTCCTCTCATGATAAACCAAAGACCAAATTTAAACCAAATTGAAGAACCAACCAAATAACAGGCCCTTATCTACACATGTCTAATCTTGGTCTTGTCAGAATTTTTAATGGGAGCAGCAGCAATCAATGCACTTTTCAGCACAAGCAGGCCGAGCCAAGTCTTCACGCTGTTTTCCTTCAATTTTCTATCGCTGCTGCCGTGCCTGCGTGCCTTGTCACACGGCTGTCTCTGTCGCTCATCGTCTTTTCCTTTCTTCCCCGGCAGCCCACGCGCGACCGGACCACATGTTTGTCTGTCTCCTGCTAGCATTGTTTCCCTCTCTCACTCCCTTCCTTTTTCTACTGATTACGGCTGTCGTCGCTCGACCACTGCCGCATCAGTCCACCGCAGTGCCCTGCCGTCGTCCGCGCCGGGTCGCCCTGCTGCTGGCGCACGCGTGTTGCAGCGGTGCCCCATCTTTCTTCCCCTCACCCGTGCGCG